ATCAGTGTGATTGTTTCACAGTTCACACAAAAGCCTGCCTCCTTTCTTTACCAAGGGCACGAATAAGCTCCACAAGGCCAGTCAATGATTTTCCAATGATCTCTCAGTGATTGACCCCTTTAAGCTTGCCCGTTGCCTGGGGATTTTAATTGTCTGACCCGAGCCACTAATGCAGGGGGGGGGATGACACAGCTGGTAAAGAGCAGGAGGGTCAGCCACGATGTGGGGATGAAGATGAATCGACACGAGTGGAAAAAGTTGCACTTTGGCTGTGGTAGGACACAGTGTGCACACTTCTGTGACTTCCTGTTACATACGAGCGTCCTAGCAAAGCCCTGTTTAAGGAAGATGCAGGCCGGGCCGACGATGTTGTGCAGCATGTTGCAGTTCTTCACCAGCGCACCGAGGGACTCCTTGAACGGTTTATCCTCTACATCCAAATCCTCATCTCCCTCCAGCTGCTGGCTCATTGCCCTCACCTTACGATGGAAGCGCCAGTGTATCACCCGCTTTGGAAGCAGATGGTTAAAGCAGGTGTTAAACCACCAAACTTACTGTCCGTCACACCAAATGTGCGACTGATCAAGCAAGTCAATATCTTTTCAGAGGCAAAGTAAGACCCCTGCTTTTCTACAGTCATGCAAACGTTGGAAAGGCAATAAGCTAGAACTGTAGGATAGATACAGCTGCTCATTATTGCAGGAAGCCCTCATCAGCCTCAGTCCTCACTGTGAGAAACCTTGTTTGACTTGAAAATAATCTATAAGTCTCAATCCTGCTGCTGCAGCTTCAAGCTGCTGACACTAGCTGATGTGAGTTTGCTAATTCTCCAGTGCAAAGACTGACAGCTTAACTACACGTCAGTAAGTAACACGGCTACAATAGTAGGAAGCAGTGAACATTACAAGTAACAGTAAAAAAAAAAGCTAAATAAATAAATATGGCAATCATGCATCTAAAATCACTATTAAAATAAATGCAAGCATTGATAAGCTCATCATATATATATATATATATATATGGATTTTAATAGATATAAGTTATGCATCTCTTTATCCTTTAAAATGCATAAATAATCTTGAAAAAGTGTGATAAATTAATTTGAATTATTAAATGGGGGATAATTAAAAAATAAGGAATAAATGAACGAAAACATATTTTTTAAAACAAGTGTGGACAGTAAATAAAAAGGACAAATAAATACAGATCCAAATGCAAAGAATATACATTTTTGTAAAACTAATTTATATGATTTTAAATTTTAATCTAGTCTTACTTTAATCTATTATTTTGATCTCTTTAATTACATATTTTTTGCATGTTTCGATTTTCTGCACACAAACAGTGTGTCCTTAAATAGCACTTTAAGTGATGCAGTCTGTATACTAAGCTTTCCTGTAATTACCATAAAAGGAAACAGTTTCACTGGTGGGGGAAAAAAAGGAAAGCGTTAGAGTTTCAACGATATATTTTTTCCTGTTTTCTTTATTTACATGCAATCATTAAAATGATGCAGTGAGACAACATCCAAAGAAAGCTGCGGTTGTCACGGAGGCAAAAAGCTTTAGTCAGCGAGTGCAAGCAAGAGGATTAAGCTGCAGTGAGTTCAAATCTAACAAAGAGGAGATAAAGTACACTTACCTTCTTCATTTTATCATTCAGAGATGGTTTGTTCCCCATTACCCGACCTCCCCTGTCACTTTTCTATGTTCCTATTTCCCTGCGCTCTTCTTCTGTGGACTTCTAAAGTCAAGTTCAAGCTCACAAGCTAAAAAAATCCCTCTGAGTTTCCCATTCTGGTTAATAGTCGTCACATTGGATAAAACAGAGATGGAAAAAGAGGAACGGCCCTCATCCATTCATGGTCATCTCCGCTGACCCAAACCAAACTGAACACGTTACCAAATGATCTTCTCAAAACAAAAACAAACTAGATGACTGAGCAGAAGTGGAGCGCACTGGACACAGCTCGCTTATGTGTCACTCCACAGAAACAGCATCACTCTCGCCTCTCCAGGCGGTGCTTTTAATCCCCCCCTCATTCCTCTCTGTCACTCGGTCTTCCCTCCCCCCTTTCTCTCTCTCTGTCTCATGTCAACATGTTGCACGAGCATTCAAATGACTTCATCTACAGTGTGAAGAGTTTTAAAGGGAGAATTAAGAGGACACGAACGGAGCGGGATTAATCCATGCCCTTTCAGATTAAAGAGGACAGGGTGATAGAGAGAGAAAAAAAAGGGAAGAGAATACATCAAAGACATTCAAAGGAAGAAACGGAAACAGACATACCTTTCTCATGTGGATAAACAAGAATCTAAATATTTGAACTTGGCCTAGAAATAGAGCATGCACTATTTGAAACCATAAATATTAAAAACAAGATATAAAACAAATTCTTGGCTAAAGATGAATATCAGAGGTGAAGAACACCAGAGGGTTTTATTACTTTAGATGTCTTAAGGCTTGGACTTTTTGTGGATTACATATCACTGCATGTGTGCACTATGTGGTATTAAAGAACACATTATGTAAAATGAATGTAAATATGATGATGTTTGTCACATCAGGTTGACCTCTTGTTGCCAGTAGGAGCGCTATAGCTGTTACCTAATATCAACAGTGTACGCTCACTGGCCTCTTTATTAGGCACACTGTTTCAGCTTCTCATTAACACAATATCTAATCAGCCAATCACATGGCATCAACTCTTAGGCATGAAGAGATGGTCGAGGCGACCTGATGAAATTCAAACTGAGCATTGGAATGAGGAAGAAAGGTGATGTTAGTGACTTGGAATGTGGTATGGTTGTTGGTGCTGACGTATTGGGATTTTCCCACACAACCATTTCTAGAGTTTACAGAGAATGATCCAAGAAAGAGAAAATATCCAGTGAGTTCAGTGCTCTGGGGCAAATTGCCTTGCTGATGTAATACCCACTCGTCATTTCTTGAATGTGGCAGAGTTCACTATAGTTAAATGACCTCCACAGTCACCGGATAAACAATGTATGTCAAACATATGGTATTCAACACATGCAATAAATGCAAAAGGTGCTTCTATATGATGTTCTTCTTTTGGCTTCTCCCTTTAGGCATCACCACAGTGGATCATCTGCCTCCATCTCACTCTGTCCCTAGCATCCTCCTCTATCTCACCAACCCTCTGCATGTCCTCTGCATTTTATTTACAACAATAAAATAATCTTTATTTATTGCATTTGTTGTTATTTATTATTATTTTATATTTATGATTTATTTATGATGTTTTAGAGTGTGATCCCCTGCTATCAGTGGTAATTTGTACATGTAGCATGAGGGCTAATGCAAAACATAACATGTACATTTTCATTGCTTTGTCATATATGTGTAAAACATGTTCAAGCTATTAAGGGTCCCTGTGACACTCAGTTCATGGGCCCAATAAGAGGACGAAAATGGGTACAAAGTGTACAAAGTGTACCAAACGTAAAACGTGAAAGTGAAAAAATGAAACCTGCTAAAGTAACAAAAGAAAAATTGAGTGTTTGCGTTTTTGAAAAATATAAGAAGTTGACTTAGCTGTGACTTGTAAAGCATTTTCCAATAAGTATTAGATGTGTTTTTCAATTATGTGGTAATTAAATTAGAAAGCAATGGAAAAATACAACAAGTGAGCTGTAATGCTTCACAAAATGAAAGCTTATGCAACTCACAGTGAGACCCTGGTGGCGTTCAAGTGTGTCAGCTCACGTCGAACTAAAAAAGCACAATGAACTTCAATTTGAACTTCAGCTCTTACATCCACGGACTACTTTGGCTGAGCTGTCAGTTATAATGGCATAAAGTTAAAATCTCAAGTGGAGGTTATGAGAGCAATGCTAAGTGGTCATCTGAGCTTTTACAAAGCATCTGCCGGCAAATCTCTCCAAAAGCAGATTTGGCATGCTGCTTACTACAGTGCATCCATACGGACGGCACAGCTCGTGTGTGTGTGCTTCTGTGTGTGTCACTCATCTTTCTGTTTAGTCACATTGTGGGGACTCTTTTAATTTTAGATTTTAGGGCGAAGACTAAGGATCAGGAAAAAGAGGTTAATAGGGTGTGTGTGTGTGTGTGTGTGTAAAACACTGCAGGAGGTAGATTTAACTCATCCAATTTTGGCTTTTGCTGTTCATTCTCCAAATTTGTCTCTCTTGTACTTTTCCGTACTAAATCATACACCCAGTTAGCAGTTTATTATTAGCTATTAGTTACCCTAATTGATACATACAGTGTGGGGTGGAGAAAATTATAGAAACAGCAGTGGATACATGTACAAGCATACAGTTGAATGAACACTACTCTCAGTCAGCTACGGGAAAGCATGAACATAGAGCACTAGAGCACAATGAGTGTGTGCTCATTGTGTTCCTGAACTCACTAGCTAAAACTAATGACAACTCTGCATGCTCTGCATGTGTCTATTGCAATAAGCTCCAGTGACCACTAGAGGCCACCTTAGGAGCGGTCTGACATCAGTATCACCTGCCAGCTGCAGCAGTGGATGTCTGGGAGAGTACCAACTTTTAATTTGTTTATTTATTTTTTAGGAGATACTTTAGGCAGATTGATCAGTCATACATTAGAAATGAAAATCCAAATTTCTAGTTTTCCTTTTTTTCTGCAATAAGACTCTTATTGTGATTGATAAACACGGAAGGCCAACACTGGAATTAACAAGTTTGCAGCTTAAGAACGCTTTTGTGGCATGAAGATAGATCACTTCTCTCAAAGAGCTTTCATGTGATTTGATAGAAACAGATTATTTTATTTTACAAAGGTACATGCGTGAGTCACTACAGGAGATGTTTGGGATGTAAAGCTTTTCATCAAAGTGGTGGTCACATGAAAACTGTTTAACACAGTTGCGGGTTTTGTACACATTTCTGTGCAGTGGTTCTTATAATATATAATATATCTTAAAAAACACACCAGTTGTTCTGGGTTCTACAGGGAGAAGACAATAAAAAGCGAGTTTTTTTTATAGGGTTTATTTTCCTTTATAATATAATGCACCTTTAGGTGGTTGTTGTTGTGATTTGGCTCCTTAATAAGTCAATATAATAAAATGTGACAAAAATATTAGACGTCGTTTATTTTTTAATTGAAAGATCCAGTTTTACACATCTGTGAGGACATGTGGACAGTCGGTATCAGAAGTCTGATAAACACATATCATGTTCTTCATTTACTTCATTCAACTGTGCAAAGATCTACTGAGTTTTAATTAAATAAATATGCAGAAATATTCAAACTTTTAAAGGGTTCACTAACTTTCAAGCACTGCTGTAACTGGAGCCCAAGCATCACTTTATAGTGCAGATGTGCTGTGATTGTGCTTGCAAAGCTTTCAGTGCAAGACTTTCTGTATTTTTGATTTGTACTTACAAATCAAAATTAATTTGCAATGAATGACTCAATTAATTAATTATTATTATTATTATAATTAATTAATTAACTGTCATTTTTAAGTTTTACATTTTTAGCTGTCTGAGATGGAAAACATATTTCAGAAAGTACCAACCTTGTACAGACTATTAGTATTAGTACAAATTAGTACAAACCTTGAGTAGAGTATAAACAATTCAACCTTCAAACTTACATACATACATTTAATAGATAGATATGAGTATCAGCTTTTCAGCACATAATATTAGCAGATTAATCACTTCTATCTGTGAGCTCCAGCATGATTCACTCTGTTGGCTGCGCATTGAAACAAAACTTAACACCAGTAATTGCAACTGAAGACACCATTAAATCTGATCAACTACCAGGTTGGGTCTCTCTTACTGATGGTTTTAATTAATCACGTAAATGAGATGGTCTTGAGAAGTGGGCGCATACACACACACACACACACA